TGTTAGTATACACACTGTCCTTAATAAACAGCAAAATTATACCTATACTGGATCCCTGCCCCCTTGGACAGGGAGGGTCTCGTGTAACTCAGGCTGGTCTCAAAACTGTTATTTAGTTGAAAATCACCCAAGATTCTTGGTTCTCTTGTCTCCGCCTCCTAAGTGCCAGAGCTGTATTTATGGCTTGTTATGTTTGATTAGTGTACTTATTTTAGATAGCTATGTGTGTGTCTGTATGTGGATACAATTTTCTCAGGCAGCTAAGTACTAGTGGTGGCACAGCCCTTTAATCCTAGGACTTGGGATAGAAGCAGGTGGATCTTTGCAAGTTTGAGGCCAGCTTTGTCTACACTGAGAATCTCAGGACAGTTAGGACTACATAGAGAAACCCTGTCTTATACTCCTCCTCAATTTTATTTGTATCCAAAAAGGGCTCCTGAGTGAGAAAAGTTTAAGAAGCCCTGAGCTAGCTGGGCGGTGGTGGCGCACGCCTTTAATCCCAGCACTTCCGGAGGGAGAGGCAGGCGGATTTCTGAGTTCGAGGCCAGCCTGGTCTACAGAGTGAGTTCCAGGACAGCCAGGGCTACACAGAGAAACCCTGTCTCAAAAAAAAAAAAAAAAAAAAAGAAGAAGCCCTGAGCTAAATGATACCTTTAAGAGCAAAGAGACATACAGGAAGGAGGGACATCTTATAGATGTGTAGACCATGTGGTGTGATCAGCGTTATGGACCGATGGGTCACCTATGAAGCACTGTAATCATTACCTTCCACACACACACCATGCGGTCATTTTCTTTTTGCTTCCTGAGCACTGGGATTGAGGACATATGACACCACACTGAGCTGTCATTTTCATCAGTACAACAGTGAGACTTGCTGACTACCGACGCTCCCTCAGGAGGGGATCAGCCATCAGACCTCTCTGGATTCTTGGGGATTTCCCCCTGCACCTCAGTTGTTGTATATGACCAAGCACTAACTGCTTGTGGCCATGGAGGTGCTGCAGTTTTCGTGGTGGGAAGTTACTGGGGGTGGGGGTGGGAGTAGGGGTTCCATCTATGCAGCTAGAGGGAATCATCCTTTGAGCTGGGGCAAGGCTTTTTAGTGGTATAGCTGCTGTAGGGTCACCCATGTTCTGTAAGCAGGCCCAGTAAAATCAGTGGTTACACAAGATATACTCTGGTGGGTCTGGTCGCTGCTGACGCCCTACAGGGAAGGCAGATGTTTGCTTACATCTCTCCTGGCACAGAATCTCCCAAACGTAAGGATTAAAGGAGACTGAAGGGGCTGGAGAGAAGGCTCACTGAGGAAGGACCCTTGCTGCCAAGTCCGGCAACCTGAGCTTCCTTCCTTGATCCCACACGGTGAAGGAGGGAACCGACCCCTGCATGTTGCCCCAGACCTCCATGTTCCTGTCATCACACACACATAGACACAGACACAGACTAAATAAATGTAAAAAAAGTTTTAAGAGATTTAAGACAATTTATGTAATAACCTCTGTCCCAAGAGTATACTATGGAAGGGGAGGGGGCAGCTTCATCATGGAGATGCCTGACAAACAGTCAGTCGTTCAGCCAGGTCATGAAGGGGACTTGAGAGAGCTACATCACACTGGCACTAATGTTCCACCGTGAGTTCCAGGCTAAGTGTATTAGGAGAAAAAGATGAAGGTCCTATGAACACTATAAAGACTGGTCAATGGTGATAGATCAACACCGGCTCATTAATTACAGCCTACGAAGCAGACAACGCAAGGAGTTAAGAAGAGGAAAAAGTGTGAACGTCTGGGAACTCGTTATCTTTGCGACTTTCTCGTTTTCTTTCCGCTTTGCTGAGAACAAGTCTTGGGTGGCTCAGGCTTGAATTTGCTCCACGGCTGAAGGTGTTCTCCAGCTCCTTGTCTGCCTGTCCCTCCCTCCTGCGTGCTGGGACTACAGGATCGGGCCACCACACACTCAACTGAGTCATACTCCCAGTCTCTTCAAGTTTTCTCAAATTGTTAGAAAACAAAAGGTCTATTTGGAACATTGTACTGGCTGGTTTTGTGTGTCAACTTGACACAAGCTGGAGTTACCACAGAGAAAGGAGCCTCCCTTAAGAAAATGCCTCCGTGAGATCCAGCTATAAGACATTTTCTCAATTAGTGATTAAGGGTGGGAGGGCCACTTGTGGGTGGTGCCATCCCTGGGCTGGTGGTCCTGGGTTCTCTAAGAAAGCAAGCTGAAAAAAAAAAAAAAAGAAAGAAAAGAAAAGAAAAAAAAAGAAGCCGGGCGGTGGTGGCGCACGCCTTTAATCCCAGCACTTGGGAGGCAGAGGCAGGCGGATTTCTGGTCTACAGAGTGAGTTCTGGGACAGCCAGGGCTACACAGAGAAACCCTGTCTCGAAAAACCAAAAA